ATGTGCCTGCCCCCTGGGCTCTTTACCGCCGGAGCTCCGCTCCTGTGCGCTCCTGCAAGAAATGACCCCTGACTGTAGTTGTGGTGTGGAGTTGTCCGGGGCTTCTCTCCAAAGGGCACGTTTGCTTGGTGGTGACAAAACCCGAATGAAAGAGGGGGCTGGAACCAGGAAGCTGTTCCAGATGTGGCAGTTACGCTCTTTTGCCGTCCTTGATGCGCTCTAAAGACTTCTTCTGAATGCCGTCTTTCCGCTCCTTCTGTCTTGCAGAACAACCTTCTGTTTTTGTTTTGAGAGCTCGCTTCGAGCCCTCCTGGAGCTGGGAAACTCTGAAGGTCATGCTGCAGCTTTGCAGTGATGTTGCTGATGTGAAGTGTGTGTGTGTGTGGGGGGGGGGTGTTTCTCTGTCCAGATTGAACCCCTGCGGTGCCCGTTCTGGGTGCTCCATTTCTTGCAGTAGGGCACAGGGTGGGGAAAACGAACCTGACCCAAAAACTGTAATCAAGAACCACCAGGGTAAGAAAGAAGTCTGACAAAGGGCCAGTATTAAAAACTAAGTTAAAGCTTATAATATAGAAAAATACATGTATTTATTAGAAAGACAGTTAAAAACGTATAATGGCCCAATGAAAGCCTCGTAGACAAGTAAAGGTCACGTGTCTTGGCCCTTGTGTTTAGGCCACCTTAACTTGTTCATTGGGCCCTTATGTTTTTAACTGTCTTTCTAATAAATACATGTATTTTTGTATAAGTTTTAACTTAGCTTTTAATATTGGCCCTTTATCAGACTTCTTTCTTACCCTGGTGGTTCTGGCTTCGTTTCTTGCGCCTGTGCTTTGACTGACGAGCATGCCCTCCTGTGCCAGAGCTCATAGCGAGGGAAGGACCTATTTTTTTAGATTTAGTTTATTTACGTTGTTCATTGGTCGCAGTTCTCAGTGGGGGGACTCCAGGCAGACGGGATGGCCAGTAAACAGTGGAATAGGATTAGAGTTGTAGGATCAACCAGAAGTCTGAAAACAGAACTGAAGCAAAGCACGCGTATTAACAGGACGCATTAAACGGTGCAAAAATTCCGCATGAGGATCCCAGTTTCAACAAGCTGTATGCAGTAGTGGAGGCCACAGTCCCTGATAATTTAGCCAAGTAACTTTGTGGATCATTTCGTGCGGTGCGACATTTTTAGCTCCTCCTCCTCCAAAACCAGACTCAAGGCAGGTCACACTAATGTCAAAAACACAATTGGAAAAATTGAAAAAAGAAAAGAAAAAAAATTGATTATGGAATATTTATTTTAACATGATGAATAAAATATTTTAAGACAAGGTGTTCAAATATTTTCCAAATCATTTCTTTTATATATATATATAAATATATATATAACAAGATGCATTTCTTTCTTTTGGAGGTGCTATTGTCAGATGAAAATAAAAAGGTTTCAGTTTTGTTTTTGCATGTGGGCGGGTATTCTGTTTGTAATAATTGTTTGGATACACTATATCTTTAATAGGCTAGTTGTGATCATTTCATGCCAAGTAAAAATGTCCATAGTCATATTTTATGTTCCTAAAGTAACAGAATGACTTTCAATCTAGAAAAGACAAAAGAAATGCTAATGTAGCATTTTTTTCAATTTTTCCGAAAATTTCTGGTTTTTTCCAGAAAAAAAACTTGTTTTTTTTTTCGAGCTTCAAAATTTTCGGAAATTTTACATCTCTAAACACATCACCCGGTGGTGGTTGAAAGTGCCAACACGTCAGAGCCGAATAATGGCAACCCGGTGGGGTTTGCGAGGCAAGAGACACTGAGAGGTGGTTTGCCATTGCCTGCCTCTGCCAGGCAATCCTGGATTTCCTTGGTAGTCTGCCATCTAAGTACTGAAAAGGGCCCAACCCTGCTGAGCTTCTGAGATCTTCCTAACATGGGGCATCCAGGTCAGGGCCAGAAACAAACAGGAGTGGTTTGTCATCACTTGCCTGTGCAGAGGGACTTCCCCGTTGCCTCCACTCATCACGCCGGTGGTGTGAAAGTTTGGGACACTTTGTCAGACTCTTGGAGAAATCGGTTCCCAACAACATGCCCTTAGAAGAATGAGAAGTTTATCGAGACACTGATAGAATCCAGCCTGTACATTGGCTGCGTTAGAACTGAAGATGGAGGCGCGAAAGCAATAGATAACACAAGGTTCAAACAGGGACCCTAAAAGGTTATGAGCCAATCAGCCCCCAGATATTCCACCTGCCCAGACCAAGGGCTCTGTGCTCCCACCTTGGTGACGTCCCCCCCCCCAGCACGTAGACAAAAGCCAGAGGGTGTAAGCTGAGACTCAAGGCCGGTGGATGTTCCCAGGCATGCTAATTTACACTCTCTACTTCAAGGCATTTTTATCTATTTATTTATTTGTTTGTTTTATTCTATTCCTACCCTGCCCTCCCTGCATCTGCAAGCGAAAGCATTTGGAATTCAAACTCTCCTGAATCCCCCTCCTGATTTTCTATGGGAAGCCAGCGATAAAATGCAAAGCGAGTTTGGCGCAACCAGGGGTCATTTCGTAGAAAAAGAGGTGCAGGAGCTCATTAGCATAACTCGTTAGCATGATTCATTTGCATATGCCACACCCCCTGACATCACCAGAAGGGTGTCAGAAGGCAACACCCACCGCTCAGGCTCCACTGGACTGTTTTGGATTGCTAGCTATTGGGGGGGGGGGAGAATGTGCAGATCTGTCCTCGCAGAGGAGGGAGAGCTTGTACCTGAATAAAACCTGGTCTTAAAGGTGCCACTGGACTGTTTTGGATTGCTAGCTATGGGGGGGGGGAACATGCAGATCTGCCCTCACAGAGGAGGGAGAGCTTGTTCCTAAAGGCGGGATGGGGGGGGCTCTGCAACTTACCTGGCTGCTTCTTGCTCCTTGTGGCCCAACTGAGGGCTACTGGGAGCAGGGGGTGTGGCTTGTTGCATGTGCCCGCCCCCTGAGCTCCTTACTGCCGGAGCTCCACTCCTGTGCGCTCCTTCAGGAAATGACCCCTGGACACAACTCTGGACTTCCTTGGTGGTCTCCCGTCCAAGTTGTAACCAGCACCAACCCTGCATTACGTGCATGGAACTTCCCTGTCAGCGAGGTCATTGTGTGTATTGGGGAGCAAGGGTATTTACTTTGACAAAAGTGTATGGTTGAGATCCCCAAAATCTCCCTTTGTATGTCCCTCGTGAGATTTTTGGCATTTTTGAAGGGCAGAATCCCAGTTCATTTCGAAAACACATTTCCAAAACTTTTTTTTTGGTGAGGGGGGGGGGGGGGGGGGGACACAGTTTTGTCCAGAAATGCAAGCACGGAATCGCGATGAGTGCGTGACGTTTGTTCGTTTTGGATCTTGGTGTGCGGGCCCGTCAGAGTGCAGGTGCTGTTTCAATTCAGAGCAAGTGACTATGCAAGGACTTCCAGTGAAAAACAATAGCAGTCGTTCACTTAACACTGGAGAAAAAATGCCGTTTCTCTGCCAGGGCATTCTTAAACGTGAACACTCCCAGTTCGGCCGTCTGACTCCTCCTGCTGCCAAACAAAGTATCAGCATACGATTCTTGCTAGTAGATATATTTATAGTCCAAAATACAAACAAAAAGCAGTCGAAGATGAACCGGCAACACAAACTTTTCGGTAATCCTTTCTCAAGACTGGACTTACATCGAAGCCACGCCTACAAACCCATTTTCCAGCACCGAAAGCTCCCAACTATGGCACGGCATCAATCTCTCCAGTGAGGCGTTTTGGCTTTTTTGGTGTTGATACCTTGTTTGGAAGCAGAAGAAGTCAGACGGTGGACTGGGCGTGCTTACCTTTAGGAACGGCCGGGCAGAGCATTGATTCAGAGCAAGCAGCAGTGGAGACAGTAAGAAGGTGTCGAAGGAGGCATTTTTTAAAATTGCACTGAACGCATGAGTGGGAATGACTAAAAAAGGAGAAATAAGGCCCCTGCCACACGAGGGGGGGAAATGTGCGGCCAAAGTGCGGCTTTTGGAAGCCGCACCAAAATAGACACGCCGCAGCGGGATCACACGGATCCCCTGAGCCGCGGCGCCGTTGCTCCCCGGCACAGTCAGATGCCGGGGAGGAAGCCACGGTCAGGAGACCGAGGCAGCCGGCTGCGCATGCATCTGCATGCGCAGTTCGGGCAGGAGCCAGGGATGCGCCGGCAGAAGGACGCACCGGCGATCCCACGGCCACGCTTGCCACAGCCATTCAGGTAAGACCACCTCTGTCGGTGGTTCTTTTTTGCTGCGGGGTTTCCGGGGTTAGAGACGGATCGGGGACATGTGCGCGCCGCTTCCCAGGTGTTGCGCTGAGATCGCGCCCGTTTGCTGCGGCCCTGATCCGTCCTTCTCCCGGGCCAAAACCCTCCGTGTGACCGGGACCGATGATAACCATGTCACGACAGTGGTATCGTTCCATACGTAAAAGTGCATCAATTGTGGCGAAAGGCGTGTCGGGTACAGCATGAGTGACGGAAAACGAACACTCACATGGGAACCTTGTGCGGAAGTCAGAAATGTCACCATTGGTTCATGTGCCCCAAAGGACCTTTCCGTTTCTGGATCCCCCCCGATGGCTTTAAAGTTTGGCGTAGTGGTTAAGTGCGTGGACTTTAATCTGGGAGAACTGGGTTTGATTCCCCACTCCTCCACTTGCAGCTGCTGGATGACCTTGGGCAAGAGCTGGATAACCCTGTCAGAGCTGTTCTCTCACGGACAGTACTGGAAAGAGCTCTCTCAGCCCCACCTTCCCTGCTGTGGGGAGGGGAAGGGAAAGGAGTTTGTAAGCCGCTCTGAGACTCCGAGTGAAGGGCGGGGTATAAATCCAGTCTTCACTTCTTCTAAAGTGTTCTCCTGTTAAGCACAACCACCGAATAAGAACTGCCCTGATTTTCCAAATGTAAAATTCTGCGTGGTGGCGTTTTCTCCCCCCCCCCCCTCTGTCATAGGTCAAGTGTTTAATCCGAAGCCACATGGGAAACCTGATGGGCGACCTGGATCGCAAGCTGCAGAAGTTGAACGAAAGAGTCGACCACACGCAGTGTCTGCGGAAGCACGAAGAAATAACGATTCGGATTATAGTAAGGTGGCTTTTGGTTTTCTGGCTCGGTAGGCCGTTAGCGTGCAGCAGCGTATTAATAATGGAACGGGCCTCATGCAGGCAGGGAGATTTTTACCGGAGCCTTCGTATTCTTCCCTTCCTTTATTGATCAGTCGCTCTCTTTCCAGCTTGCTCGGTTTGGTGTCGTGGTTAAGTGCGCGGACTCTGATCTGGGAGAACCGGGTTTGATTCCCCACTCCTCCGCTTGCACCTGCTGAATGACCTTGGGCAAGCCGTAGTTCTGTCAGAGCCGTTCTTGGAAAAGAGCAGTTTCTATCAGAGCTCTCTCGGCCCCACCTACCTCACAGGGTGTCTGTTGTGGGGAGGGGAAGGGAGTTTGTAAGCCACTCTGAGACTCCCAAGTGAAGGGCAGGGTATAAATCCAATTTCTTCTTCTTCTTTCTTCCTCCTCCCAGTTTGGTGTAGTGGTTAAGTGCACGGACTCTGATCTGGGAGAACCGGGTTTGATTCCCCACTCTTCCTCCACATCTCAGCCAGTAGCCAACCAGCTCCTCTGGAGGGCCAACAACAGGGCACAGAGACAGAGGCCTTCCCGTGACAACATCAGAAGAACCCTGATGGATCAGACCAGGGAGGGTCCATTTAGTTCAGCATCCTGTCCCACACAGTGGCCAACCGGCTCCTCTGGAGGGCCAACAACAGGACACAGATGACGAGGCCTTCATAAGAACACCAGAAGAGCCCTGCTGGATCAGACCAGTGAGGGTCCATCCAGTCCAGCATCCCCTCTCACACAGTGGCCAGCCAGTTCCTCTGGGGGGCCAGTAGCAGGGCAGAGAGGCTGAGGCCTTCCCCAATGTTGCCTCCTGGCTCTGGGATTCAGAGGCTTAGTGCCTCTGAATGTGGAGGTTCCCTTCAGTCACCAGGGCTGGTAACCACTGAGGAGCCTTTCCTCCGTGAACCTGTCTAATCCCCTTTTAAAGCAGTCCATTTCTATGGCTTCACTACCTCCTATGTTAGCAAATTCCACATTTTATTTACTTATCAGGAAAACAAGTATCTCCTTATGTCCTTCCTGACCCTACTGCCCGTCAGCTTCGTTGGATGCCCTCGAGTTCTACTATTTTGGGAGAGGGAGGAGACGTTCTTTGGCCACACTCTCGGCCGCATGCATAATTTTATAGACTGCTTATCCTGTTCTCCCTCACCGTGAGGGGCAGCTGACTCACGCTTCCCAGTTGGAACGGATCTTCCCGACCTTCAGTTCCACATCTCTCCTATCGCTTAGCGGTTCACGTTGGTGCCGTCGATGGGACTCCGTAGGAGAGCTCGACACAAACCGGTTCTTCCTTTTTCTTTGCAGAAGAAAATATCTCGGCTGGACCGGCACGTAAATTCTATAGCGGACCTCCAAAGGTCTCAGTTGTCAAAACAGGTAGGTTATCTACAAAACATGGTCTGTTTTAGATCATTGAGCTGCGGCGGCTCAAGTGGTTAAGAGGCTGAGCTGCAGAGCGTAAGGTCGGTAGTTCGGCAGTTTGAGACCCGAGTGTGCCGCGTGACGGAGTGAGCTCCCGCCTCTGGCCCCAGCTCCTGCCAACCTAGCAGTTTGAAAGCAAGAAACTGCAAGCAGATAAACAGGTACCGCTTCGGTGAGAAGGGAACAGCGTTCCGTGCGCCTCGGCGTCTAGTCACGCCGGCCACATGACCACGGAAAAAGTCTTTGGGCAGCGCTGGCTGTCCGGCTTGGAAATGGAAATGAGCACCGCACCCCTAGAGAAAGCGGGCTCTCCCAGCAGCCAGCGAAGTCAGCATGGGGTTCCGTCAGGAAGCCACCCAGAATCCTGATTCCCAGGGGGAAGCAGCCATCCGGGATGCACATCCTTGTGGTGGAAGATACTTGTTTTATTTATTAATCTTGTGCTGCAGGAAGGCACTTATGCGCCTTTTTTCTTCCCAGGTCAATCTTCAGGGTGCACGGTCAAAAACAACCATACTGAATGTGGCCAGGCCCGTTCCTGACAGTCCAAATGACCCGTCCGTACCACTGAAACGGCGGTCAGAAGAACAGCCTGGTGAAGTTCCTTCCAAAACCGCCAGAAGGTAGGTGTGTTTTTTTTTCCTGGGCAGCCAAGCAGGTGGGCCTCTTCAGTGGCAGGTGTTCGGGGGAGTGAAGCAAGGTGACCATCTCACGGTGGCAGTGTGGTGTAGTGGGTTGGGTTTCTGGGTGGGAATATAGAGACTGGGTTCAGATCCCCACTTGGCAAGGAAAGCTGTCTGGGTGACCTTGGGCCACTCACTCCCAGGGCTGGGGGGGGGGGGGGGGGAGTGAAGGAAAGGAGGGCAAAAGCATAAGGAGCTGGTTACGGTCACAATCTTGCATATATCAGTCTACCCAAAGCCAGTCTGTATGCATGAATCGGTACATAAGAAGAGCCCTGCTGGATCAGACAAGTGAAGGTCCATCTAGTCCAGTATCCTGTCTCACACAGGGGCCAGTCAGTTCCTCTGGAGGGCCAACAACAGGGCAGAGAGGCCGAGGCCTTCCCCTGATAAGAACCTCAGAAGAGCCCTGCTGGATCAGACGAGTGAGGGTCCATCTAGTCCAGCATCCGGTCTCACACAGGGGCCAACCAGTTCCTCTGGAGGGCCAGCAACAGGGCAGAGAGGTCGCCAAGGACTTCCCCTGATGTTGCCTCCTGGCCCTGGGATTCAGAGGGTTAGTGCCTCTGAACGTGGAGGTTCCCCTCAGTCACCATGGCTAGTGGCCATTGATAGACCTCTCCTCTAGGAATCCATCTAATCCCCTTCTAACAATGCTTATTCCTGTGGCCGTCACCACATCCACTTTCAGCAGGTTCCACATTTTAACAGGAAAGACAGCCCAAAGACAAGGCTGCTGTGAACTTCCTAGCACGTGAATTCCTCTCTAACTATCCCCCCCCCCCCCATGAGAGCTGTGGTGACCGCCAGTGTAGACAGAAGCAGAGTTACGCCCTCTGGCAGTCCCTGAAATCAGGGCGTTGCATTTCACTCCTCGAGACGGAACTTTAAAATCAGAAAGGACCAAGTTCAAACAGTTGCCTCTTGTCATGAGTTCACGGGGGAGTGACATTTCTCTGTCTCCCCAGCTCTGCGCTGAGCAGATACTTGGGGGGGGGGGGGCTATGAATTACTGGGGAAATAGATGTGGAGCGCTCACAGAAAATTTTGGAAATCCTTTTCCTTTTTAAAAGAACAGCAGCCAAGCAAAAATGCCCCTGATACCAGTTGGCGGTGTTTCCTGAACTCCGTGTGATATCTCTGTGTTGATGAGAAGTTTTCACACCCCTGCTTTTTTGTGATTTGCAGGGCTTACACACACAAGCACACAGACACACACACGCACACACACAGGCTCCAGTGGGAGAGAGAATTCCTCAACAGCGCCAGAATTCTCGGGGAAGTGTAAAATAATTTACGGTCAAAGCAGACAAGGCATTTAGCACCCCAAGCGGGGAGGGATCCAGCTGCTTTCTGTGCCTGCCCAATAACTTGTTATTTTGATGCTTTGGTGGTGTTGTTTTTTTTGGTCAGTTCTGCCAAGGAAGCATGCATCGATGTGGAAACCTCTGACGTCCAAGCCAGGAATTCAGCAGGTATTGAGACTTTTAAGCTTTGCGTTTAAATATTTCAAGACACCAGTTTTAACAGAATATGGCTAAAGGGAACCTAAATATTTCACTTATGCCTCTTTTTCTTCTTCTTTTTCTCCCTTCAAAGTGCATAATGGGAAGACCTCTAACGTCCAAGCCAGGAATTCAGCAGGTATTGAGACTTTTAAGATTTGCGTTTAAATATTTCAAGACACCAATGTGACGTCCTCTATTACGGAGGACTGGTTTTCTCTTTAAATGTATAGTTTGTGTTCATGAACAGGGTAGATTCGGCCGCCACCAGGAATTTAAACAAATTCCAAATCTTTTCTCATTAGCTGTTGGTAAAGCGACCTCAAGTCTGGGCTTTTCAAGGGTCTCTGTGGTCCTGTGGAAAGATTTGAACTGAATTCTGGAACTCAAACAAAATGTGATTTATTGAATAAAATCTTAAACATAAATAAGTTGTTTGTTAACTATAACTGTTTAGGGGAAGAGAAACTGGAAAATTTAGCTGTCAGGGTATCACACAGTCTTTGGTCACAGGATCCTTCTCTATTAAGAATCTCCTTTTTCAATAGACCCACACTCTGGCTAAGCTCTTTATTTTGTGCTTAGTTTCCTTTTAAACTTTAGGATGTCTCAGATCCTTCTCGCAACTCTTCAACATTTAAACTTTCAACAACATATTTTCTGAACACTTCAAGTTTTCACACAGCACTCTGTCCTCTTTCTCCAATGGACTCCCTAACTGACAGGCTCTCATTCAAAACTCCCACTGGACTGCTTCAAGACACACACACTCCTTCCAAGCAACCCCCTCCCACACTCTGCCATCCACCAATCACATCACACTTGTCTCTCTCAATCACTCTACTAACATTGCACTCCAACCAAACATTTAAAGGAACACACACACACACAGTAAAACAAGGAATCATTACAACCAGTTTTAACAGAATATGGCTAAAGGGGACCTAAATATTTTGCTTATGTCTCTTTTTCTTCTTTTTTTCTCCCTTCAAAGTCCATAGTGGGAAGACCTCTGACGTCCAAGCCAGGAATTCAGCAGGTATTGAGACTTTTAAGATTTGCGTTTAAATATTTCAAAACACCAGTTTTAACAGAATATGGCTAAAAGGAACCTAAATACTTTGCTTATGCCTCTTTTTCTTCTTTTTTTCTCCAAAGTGCATGATGGGAGGACCTCTGACGTCCAAGCCAGGAATTCAGCAGGTATTGAGACTTTTAAGATTTGTGTCTAAATATTTCAAAACACCAGTTTTAACAGAATATGGCTAAAGGGAACCTAAACATTTCTCTTATGCCTCTTTTTCTTTTTTTCTCCTTTCAAAGTGCATAATGGGAGGGAGACTCTAGATGGGTTTAGGTGAGCCATGGTATAGTGGCATTGCCTTCATCAAAGAAATGCTTTATTTTCTTCAGTGAAAAGTTTAACCGATAGTTTCTTATGTGTGCATGATTTATAGAAAGCAATTGCTGTAGACTAGTGGGAATAGGAGCCGAAGTGGCTCAGAAGGTTAAGACTCTGTCACTCCATAGGAGAGATGCCACCCCAAAGCAGCTTATTAATAATAATAATAATAATAATAATAATAATAATAATAATAATACCTTTCGATTTATTGATGGCTCAATCCGGCAGACCTGCTGGCTCTGAGCGATTTACAGTTACACGGTTTCACACAAGGGACTAACAATTTCATAGGGGTAAGGGAGGACAACATATAATTCTTTAAATCGCACACATTTTGCAGCCGACGGGGATTTTTGTTCAGCTGTAGGCAGGGGTCATTTCGTAGAAAAAGAGCTAGGGGAACTCATTAGCATAACTCATTAGCATATGCCACACCCCCTGACATCAGGGGCCCGGTGGTGGACCTGCAAGGCTGGCAGGAGTGCGAGGAAGCCCCGCCAAGGCCCTCCCTGGTCCCAGGCAGGCAGGGAGGAAGCAACTTACCCTCCCTCTTCTCCTGCCTCCTCCTGGCTGAATGAGGGCTGGAAGCGGGGCGGCCGGAAGCTGGGGGCGGGGCTTCATCATGTGCCCCGCCCCTCTGCACCTCACCCGGGGGAACGGCAATCCCCCGCGATTCCCCCCCGAAATGACCTCTGGCTGTAGGCTTCAGACGTGTTCCGGAGGCATTCACTTTTCGGTTTGGCTTGATGACATTGGTTCTTCCTGGGCTGCTTTGAATCGTAGTGCCGCACTGCCACCGCCTGGCCAGATTGGCCCATTGCAGGCTTCTTAATGTCGAAGAGGTCTTTTTATCAGGCTTACGAGCTGGACATTCCATTCGCCAGCTAACACCTCCCCTATGGGGGTTTAGTGTGCCCACCCTCTCTAAGGAGTGGTACCCATTTTATCTACTCGCTGAAGCTTTTGAACTGCTGGGTGGACGGCGAGCTGGGGACAAGGCTGGTAGCTCACACCAGCGCGGGCTAGAACTGACAGCAACTCTGTTCAGTTCAGATGTTAACCAGAGGATAAATCCTCTGTGCCACCACTCCCCTCCACATATATAGAGAGATGATTATGTTACACATTTTCTAAGGTAGTCCTCAATCCATCTATAGAGTCTTGACCAGTTCTTGTAAAAAACGTATTCTTTTTTGTCTTGTAATTGCAAAGTTAATTTATCCATTTCTGCTGTTTCCAGCAGTTTGTAAATTATTTCTTCTTTTGACGGGACTTCTTCTTTTTTCCAATACTTTGCATACTTCTTTTTGCAATACTTTGCATACAAAATCCTAGCCATAGTTACAACATATATATAATCATATACGTATCTTAAAACGTATAATCATATACGTTTCTTAAAATTCTCTGGAATAATACTTAATAGAAATAATTCCGGTATAAATGGTATAATTAGATCTAACGGTTTTTGCGTTAACGTATTTTGACCTGGTTGTAGCTACATCCGCTTGGCTTCTGCTGCCTGTTCCGAAACTGCCCTTGTGCTTGTGATCACACTGTTGGCAGGCTCTCACTTGCCTCCAAACGAGCCAGCCGTCTGCCTGCCTTGCAGATGTGTCTCGGAAAACCAGTACGCCTCATCAACTGAATTTGAGAATATTACAGTAACGCTTATTTCCGATTTCCACAGATGCTCAGCAGACGAAAACATCTTCAGATGCACACACCTCAGTCGAAGCCCCGTGTGAACCTAAGGTCAGTTTTAAACAGGGTTTATTACTTCTGCTGTTGTCACGGCTCAGGTGGGGTGTCACGTGACGCTGCCACCACTCTGGATTTAGGTTCCCTTGAGAAGACCCAGAGCCCCCTCCCAAGACCTTCAGACCTCCCTTTTGGCCGAATACTAGGCGTGAGGACCAGGCAGAATACAAGGAAAAGGTTTATTTTATAGGAGGTCAAACAACAAGGTGCAGAATAACAGTAAGTGGGTGAAAAGAAAAGAAATCAAATGCACTAACGCGTCTAAATATACACTGTCCCTAGCTCACTATCTGCAGTGGCCTTAGACTACTCACCCTTCCCGCAGGATGAGGGTCTCTCCCCTGCAGCAGCCTTCCTTCTGGCTCTTCCCTCTGGGAAGAAGAACAGCTTTTCCTGCTGCTCCAGATCTTTTATTCCAAGCCCTCCTCTTTTCCTATTGGTCAGTTTTGGCTCCAAAACCTCTCACGGGCTTCTGGGAGTTGTAGGCCCAGCTTTACCTACTGCTAGCCAGGCTCCCTGGGCCTAGTAGGCCTCTGGTGGCACAGCCCAGATCAGGACAGCTGTGTTCTGCCCATAGCCCAGACTTGCCTTATTCCTTAGCGGAAGGCAGTTTGGATTACGAATGGTTGTGAGATATTTTACTGCCATAGCAAAGTAGATACTCCTTATTTGCCGCTGAACTTTTCTGCCCATGTCCTATGTGGCTGTACAAAGTCGAACCTTCCCTCACGAGCCAAGCTTTACCCGAACCGTGTTTCATTCTTCCCTTCCCAACTCCCACAAGAACCTTTTCAGTGAGAATAAAGGTAACTGGAAAAAGCTTCCCCCGGGGGGGGGGGGGTCGGCATAATCGTAATGACAAATTCTAGAGGGGGAGCCGTTTGAAGTCTGCCAGAGACAAAATAGCAAAGAATCTTGTGGCCCTTATAGAATAGCAGGAGTACCGAGGGATGAGCTCTTGAGAATCTCAGGTACATACATGAAGCCCACATAAATCTGCCTTAAAATGAACCAAACCCTGGGTCCGTCAAAGTCAGTATTGTCTACTCTGACTGGCAGCTGCTCTCCAGGGTCTCAAGCAGAGGTCTTTCCCATCACCTCCTGCCTGGTCCTTTTAACTGGAGATTCCGGGGACTGAACCTGGGACCTTCTGCATGCCAAGCAGAGGCTCTTCCACTGACCACAACCCCTCTTTACAGCTCTCCAGGGTCTCAGGCGGAGATCTTTCCCATCACCTCCTGCCTGGTCTCTTTAACTGGAGATGCTGCCAGGGATTGAACCTGGGACCTCCTGCATGCCAAGCAGAGGCTCTACCACTGAGCCACAGCCCCTCTTGACAGCTCTCCAGGGTCTCAGGTGGAGGTCTTTCCCTGCCTGGTCTTTTTAACTGGAGATGCTGGGAATTGAACCTGAAACCTTCTGCATGCCAAACAGATGCTCTACCATTGAGCCACAGCCCTTCCCCACAGAACCCAGTCCAAGTGCCCCCCCCCGGCCCGCTCCAATGACCTCAGGCCAGTCATTTTCTCACATTCCAGCCTCCCACAGAGGGTCGCTTTCAGGATAACATGGAGGGTGGAGAACAAGGATCTTGTTGGGGAAAGA